CCACAAACTGCTCCATTCTTACCCCCATTCACTTGTAAATGGCCCCTCTGATGTTCCCTCCACCCCCTCTCCTCTGTTACTCCCCCCTTGCCAGCTCTTTCTTTTCCCTTTTCAACTGAGGCCTGGGGTGGGCTCCCCGAAGAGCTCATCGTGGAGCCTGGTGGACTTGGTGGGGACAGAGGCGGTTTAACCTGTGGAAGAGAAGACTTAGGGGATCCTTTCTTCCATATCTGAAGGGCCATCCTGGGGAAGAGGGGGTGCATTTGTTGGCATGGTCCCCGTGGACCATTCAGGCCCAGTGGGTGGGAATGACAGGAAGACAGATTTCTGCTTGGGAGAAAAGAGCTCTTAACAATCAGGGCCGCTGCACAGAGGAGCTGACCTCCTGTCCCTGGAGGTGTTCAAAGAGAGACTGGACGAGAGTCTGTTACACACTGGATGAGGGTCAGTATCAGAGACGACTTTGAGGTTGTTCTCTTTCAGTCCCGCGAGGCTGAGGCTGACACCTTTTGGGGCTCTTCCACAGTGGGCAGTCAGTGTCCCCCAGAGTAGGACAAGTCCACTGGGGCGAGGGATTCTGGTGGAGCTTGCGTTGGTGCTCTCCACAATGGGTATCCTCCCTTTGGCAGCAGCCTTTAGAAGGTACTGGAGCCCAGAGGATGAGGAATCTGAAGTCACTGTGGGCTTACAGCTCAGAGCAGCCATCTGTTGAGCGTGTCCTGTGTGTGTGACACTGCCAGGCCTGCCATGGGCGTTGTGCCTTATGTAATCCTCAGCAGCTCTTGGCATTTGGATTATTATCCCTGCTTGTCAGAGGATGACACTGAGGCAGCAAGGTGAAGTGATTTCCCAGCCAAGGCCGTTGAGCACACAGCGCAGGTCCTCTGGCTGTAGACTCAGAACCCAGCCACTCCATCATAGAGCAGCAGCTCTCATCACCTGCTCTGTCCCCGATGGGCAGGCCAGGTGCCAAGGCATCCTGCACTGGAAACCTTGTGTTAGGTGCCCGTCTCCCTCCTCTGGTGCCGTGTGCCCAGGGGCAGCCTGGCTGCCAGCACCTCTAGCCTCAGAGTGTCATTCCTTCCACCTGGGTTGTCCTGGGAGCATTAGCCAACCCCAACATCTTGTGGGTTCAAACATCTAAAATAGAAGGAAGGTCAGTATCTAGGACCCCTCACTTCTCTCCCAGTCCCCTTATTCCCTTTCCAGCTTCTGATGGGAAGATACTGGATGCCACAGAAAACCCCAGCCAGTCCCAGCACTATCTGATTCATGGTTGGTTCTGCCCTGCCCTCTAAAGCTGGGGTGCCAGACCACTGGGCAGAGTGTGCAGAAACCCAGAGTGCGAGGGGTATAGGTTCTTCCCCTCTGGATCCTGGAGTAATTACAGCATTGATATGCAGGTTACAGTGCTGAGAGATTTGTATATATGGTCTTATTTTATCCCCCACAATGACCCTATGAGACGATGTTAACATCCCCGTTTTACAAAAAAAGAAAGTTGAGGCCATTTTACAAAAAAAGGAAGCTGAGGCTCCAAGGATTCCTTTTTTTTTTTTTTTTTTGAGACGGAGTCTCGCTCTGTCACCAGGCGAGGTCTCGCTCTATCACGCACGCCCAGGCTGGAGTGCAGTGGCCGGATCTCAGCTCGCTGCGGTTTTTTTTTTTTTTTTTTTGAGACGGAGTCTCGCTCTGTCACCCGGGCTGGAGTGCAGTGGCCGGATCTCAGCTCACTGCAAGCTCCGCCTCCCAGGTTTACGCCATTCTCCTGCCTCAGCCTCCCGAATAGCTGGGACTACAGGCGCCCGCCACCTCGCCCGGCTAGTTTTTTTTGTGTGTGTATTTTTTAATAGAGACGGGGTTTCACCGTGTTAGCCAGGATGGTCTCGATCTCCTGACCTCGTGATCCGCCCGTCTCGGCCTCCCAAAGTGCTGCGATTACAGGCTTGAGCCACCGCGCCCGGCCGGCTCCAAGGATTCCTTACCCAAGGTCATAGAACTAGGAAGCGATGGAGTCCAGCTCAAAATCAGGCCTGTCTGACTCCAGGGTCCATGGTTTTAATCTCTTTCTTCCTCCCACCTTCCCTCCCTACCTCCCCAGTTGTCCACTCAAGTAATGGTAATGGTAGTGCCATACGTTTGAGCCAGATTGTGATTCGAGTGTCATGTCAGAGACACATGGAAGCACAGGCCTGGGCAGTGGGTCCTGGTTCCCAGGAAGCACATACCTAGGAGGTACCGCTGAGGTTCACTAGGAGGGAGAGGCCCCTACGAGAGCAGGCCCGTTCTCAAGGCCTGGCCCCATCTCCTGCTAAGCTTCTTACCTTCTCTGTTCTGCTACCTTCAACCTGCCATTCCATCCTGCCCCAGCCTTCCCATGTGTTATCCTTGTGCCCAGAATGCTCCCCACCCGACTCATCCTTCAGACCTGAGCTTCACTGTTTAACTCCTCAGCCAGGCCTCTCCTGATCCCAGAGGAAGGAGATAGCATTTGTCACAACTGATTAAGTATGGTCTGTCTCTGCTGCTGGCCTCTAGCTCCATGAGGGTAGGGAGCTCTGTGTCCCTCTTGCCCACTGCCATCTCCCTAGCACCTTGCACATAGTAGCTGCTCAATAAATATTTGTCTCCTGAGTGATCACATGGGATTCCAGGAGGGAGACCGCCCCTAGTAGGAGAGGGAAGACAAGAGGACACAGAGTGGGAAGGTGAAAGTGACAGTCTCCAGCCCCCATCTATCCCAGAGCCATCCATCCCCAAGCCACCAGCCCCTGACTCTGCTTAACCCTTCCTCCTCCCCTGGGCGCCTTTGGAAGCCGACCATCTGGCTTGGAGGCTATTTGCATATTGTCTGTGCCTCAGCAAGCCTAGCAAGATGTCCCTGGGGGTGTGTTTCAGGCCAGGCCGAGTGGCCCTTGCATCCTGCGAAGGGAGCCATGAGTTCCCCCTCTCCCCACCCCCAAATCCAGGCATGGGGGAACAATACGGGTGGTGATGCAGTAGCCTCACCATGGTAACAGGCTATCAAAAATGTGGGCAGGCCTGGGTGGGGGGTGGGCAGAAGAGGGAGGGAGTGACCTTAGCAAATAGGAGCATCATGATAAATGAGCCAGCACCGGGCAGCAGACTCATCCCCCAGCTCATCCCTCTGGGACTCCATGCTGGTGCCATCGTTCAGATGACCCCACCATGACCACTAGCCCTTCCCCCACCCCCAGGCCTATCCAGAGTGGAGCAGAAGCACCTTCCCTTTGGAGGGAGCCAGGACTGTCTCCTAATTGAGTCCGGGTTCCATGCAGGCCAGGCACTGCCTAGACCCTCTCGCCGTCTCCACACACACAGGCACACCCCCGCCCGCCAGGGCTGGCTGATGGATGTGTCAGACCCCGGTGGCTCTATCGAGCGGCCACAAGATGTATGGGTTGGCGGCCCACCAGACAGTGCCAAGATGGAGGCCAAGGGGATTCAGAGCCAAAGGGAAACCTCTGAAATCCCGATCTCAGGGAGGAACCCAGCCAGGAGTCCAAGTGGGCTGCAGCTCGTTGGAGGCAGCCTTCTCCCCATCCCATGCCTGCTCCAGGGACCATGAAGACTCCGATCTGCTTTGTTTAAAAGGAGACATTAAAATGGAAAGGCGGCAGTCTCAGTCCATGGACACTTTGCCCGTGGCCCTGTGCTCTGCTGGCATACGAACCAGGCAAGTTGGCACTGAGCAAAGTGGACCATCCAGGCTGCAGGCCTGTCAGAGCGAGGGTGGCACGCGTGCCAGCCAGTGTGCCTTAACTCCCTGCCCAAGGCTGGGGCTGTGTGTGTGTGCGCGCCACGCTGCGGGCCCGGACGGGGCAAGGCAAAGTCTCCCTGAGTCCTGGCAGCCTCTCCCTCGCCCACACTCCAGGACTCTGGACTCCAGGCAGGAACACCAAGGCCCCACCTGGGCCTTCTCCAGCTTAGCCCTGAGCTTTGTCTCAGGCATTAGTCCAGGACAGCAGACCCCTCTGGACACTGACTCAGGATGGGGGTGGTTAATCCCAACCCCTCTGCTGGCTTCCCAGAAGCAAGTTGTCTCCCCAGGACCTTTATCCTCAAGTCATCTAGGGGAATGAGAAGGAACTCCGCAGCCTCAGGAGAATGGCCCTGTTTCAGGGGCAGACAGTTGAGGACCATAGGCTTCGAGGTGTTTATAGAACCACATTCCTGTGTGCTGTGGCTCGATACTGCTGCCCCTAGGAAAGGAGAGGTGACCCTGGAGACAGGTGACTCTGAGCCTCCGCATGACATACAGAGAGACTGGTGGCTCTCCTAGAACCACAAGGAGGCAGATCTCAGTGTTAGCTGAGCAGGAGAGGCCCTGTCACCCGAGTCTCTGGCCACCGCTGGCGTGGAGGGCTCTGGAAGCGTGGGGTGGTGGCAGGGGAGTAGAGCAGGGATTTGTCAGCATCCCTGGCTGGTGAATGATCCTTCTCTCTCTCTGCCAGAGGAAATTAACTGATGTTATCAGCTCAGCAATTGTTTTTTTCCCCTCACAAAGGGAAATATATGCAGACCCCTCCAAGAGCAAAGCCGAATCCTTCCCATCTGGGACTGGCTGGAGAGAGAAAGGTGGAGGGGGCTCTTCAGAGTCCTCTCAGAAGTCCTGCCATGGCAGTTGGAGACTGGCTTCCAGGACTTGTGGTTCGGGGCTTGTCTCCTAACCCTTTAGATGCGACAGTCCTCCCGCCATCTGCCTTGAATCCCTCCACTATAGGTAAATCCCATTGCCTCTTCTCCAGGACTTCAACAGTGCCATGTGCAGCTGTCTCTGAAGATCCACCTGGCAAGTCACTGGCCTGTCCTAACCTGTTTCCTCACCTTTGGAATGTACAAGTTCATGGGCCATCACAGCCTGGTCTGAAAGAAGCCCTCTAAACCCCACGTGTATTTCCTTCTGGGCCAGGCAAGGCTCTGGGGGGACAGGTGTCATTTGAGATTGACAAGAGTTTGTTCTGTGCATTCCTCTCCAGGGGACATCCGGAACCTGCTCGTCTGGATCAAGAAGAACTTGCTAAAAGAGCGGCCAGAGTTATTCATCCAGGGAGACAGCGTGTGAGTCCCATTCCTCCCTTCCCTGAAGGGGGTGGAGGGAGGGACGGTATCTGAGCCCCCACCCTCAGGTTCAGTCCTGGCCTTCTCTGAATCCGGTTCTCCCCTTCCTCCTCCCCCTGACTCCTCCAGAAAATAGTGTGAGATCTATTTTCAGTTTTCTTGTTCCTAAAACCAAACTCTGGAGGATTTTTTAAATCCCAGATGAAAAGAGCCTGGTGAATTTCTCAGAAAACTTGGATTCTGCCTTCTGGTTGCCACAGACTTGCTGTGGGACCTTAGACGACTTACTTCACTTCTCTGGGCCTCAGTTACTCTCTACACAGAAAGTGCTGAGGACAAAATGTAGCTAGTACAACTGAAGAGCTAAATATTCTATTTTATTTCATTGTAATTTAAATAGCCACATGTGGCTAGTAGATTACCATACGGTGCAGCACAGGTCTAGAATTCCAAGGAGTCATTGACTCTGTGCATGCACACACCCATGCACATGCACACACACACTGGGGACACCCCGTAGAAGCCCAGAGCAGTCTCTTTGGAAAGGACCAGGTTCCAGTTGCCAAGAAGTTACTTCTAAAACAAGGCCAGTCCCCCTTGTGAAAGGTGGCCGGTGCAGTTGTGAGGCTCGCTTATTTGCCTCGAAGCATAGGTCACTGTGAGGTCCTAGGGGATCAGCCCTCCTTCAGGTCATGGTCCAGTGGTCCTGGAGGCCACCTCTAAGGCCAGCAGCGCTCCTTGGGCCATTACCAGTGGGAGCCAGGCTAAGTTGCCTGACCAAATGCTGACCTACGCTGCCTTATGCCAGGCAGGACTGCACATGAACATTGCCATGTGGCATGGCAACTGATTCGGAAGAGGCAAAACAGCCTCCTCTCCAGGATGGGCATGCAGAGGCCTAAAAAAAAGCCGAAGTTCTTTTCCAGAGCTAATGAGAGTAAGGTTAGACCCCTGGAAAAGTCCCACTAATGATTATGGTGACATTGTGGCAAGAACTCCACACATACCAGCTGATTTCGTTTTCGTATAGGCCTTGTGGGACAGACGCTATCACTTATCCCATTTTCAGATGAGGAACCTGATACTCAGAAACAAAATGACCTGCCCACGGTCCGGGTGGTGATGCTGGCTGGCGTTTGCACCCATTTTCCATCTGGCTACAAAGACCATGCATGACTGTCTGACCTGGTTTCCTTCACACTCAGACCAGCCTCCCCTTCCTGGGAGATGTTTAGCCAGACCCCAGGAGGAAGGCTCCCCAGCACACTCTCCTGCAGCCCAAAGCTCTCAGCCTCTCTTCCTCTGTGCTACTGCCTCCTGCTTCTCACTCCCTGCTACTTACCACTATCTTTCCCACAGGCGGCCAGGAATTCTGGTGCTGATTAACGATGCCGACTGGGAGCTACTGGTCAGTACCTCGGGTGACATCCCTCCCCCAGCCCCTGCCCTTGCTGCTTCAGTGGGAAAGCCTTGGGCCTCTCTCAGGCACATATAGAGTGGCTGGGTAATCCTCTGCCCCACTCCAGCCCCACACTGAGGTTGCTGGAGTCTCTCACTCCAGGTGAGGAAGGGATGGGTAGCTGGGGACATGGGAGCACCCCTCCATCCTGAAGATTTGCAGGTTGAGGTATAGGATACCCATTTTTCTGGTACAGTCTGTCTCTTCCAGAGCAGCCAGTCCTCAGCCCCTGCTCTCCCAACTCCTGGGGTGGAACTGGGAAGGGAGCCCTGAGGGTCTCCTGCTCCCCTCTGTCCCGCACCAGGGTGAGCTGGACTATCAGCTTCAGGACCAGGACAGCGTCCTCTTCATCTCCACTCTGCACGGCGGCTGAGGGCCCTTCTCTGGGCCTGGGCACCCTTAGAGGGGAGAACGAAGCAATCAGACATCCCCTTGGGCCCTGCTTCCAGGTCTCCCTGTCCCCCTTGCCTGTCTTCTTCCCTGCTCTGTCCCCCAAGCTCCCTCCAGGCAGGGAAAAGAGGCCAGGTGCTAAAAATGAGCCTTTCTCAAGCACGTGAGCAGGGGAAGGCAGACAGGCACCAGAGCCCAGCACTCCCTTTTCCAGCAGCTGTGATGGGGGAGGGTGCCCCTCTGGTTTGTCAAGAGTGGAAGGAGGCTCTGTGGCCAGGTGACCTGGCTGCCTTCCACTCCTTGTACCTCAGTCTAAACATGGAGTGGCCGCTGACAAGGTGCTCCAGCCTCAGGGCCAGCATCTTCATGGGGAAGATGAATGGACCTGAGTAGCTGAAGGAAGGCCCCTCCCTACCCAAAGATTGGAGGCTTCTCAGCCTCAATTTCCCTGTCTGGACAGCTGAGGGCTTTGCCTGTCCCCCACTGCTATCAGTATGGAACCCCAGCTGGGGTCCCCTATTCAGTGCTGACTCCCCCCAGCCAGCAGCTGCTCCTCCAGCCACACCCCTCCTTCTGCTCCCCCTACCCCTAGCCCTTGACCCTGGCTGGCCTGCCTCCCTCCACAGGCCACCAGATGGGCTCCTGAGACCCTCCCCAGGCTGCTTACAGCTCATTCTGCTGGGGGTAGAGATGAAGGGAGGGAGTAAGTTAAACCTTGGACTAGCAGAAGCCTGGGGGGATCTGTGTGCCTCAGTTTCCTCCTCTACAACTGAATATTTATAGTGGCTGAAAACTGGGGAGATACCTGATGGTGCAGATGTCCATTTTCTCTCCCTTCCCACCTCCTGCAGGAAGCAGGAGGGGGCAGGCAGCACCTGGTAGGCAGAGTGGTTTGCTCCCCCTCCCCTTCCCTTCTGGAAGTCTTGGGGCCTCAGTGCTTGCAACAGCCGGCCTTGTGCAAATAAAAGACTAGGTTGTTTACTAGCCTTGCTTGGAGCTTCATCCTTGGAAACAGGTGGCACCTCATATCCCCCTAGTCATGGTCTGTGATACAACCTCTCCATCCTCAGCCTAGAGCCTCAGAGCTACCCTTCACCCTTCACCCAAAAGAGGGGTGGGGGTGAACACTCAGACAGTCTGAGACGGGGTAGTCTAATAGAGCCATCTGGAGAAGGGGGTGGCAGAGTCAGTCTGTGCTGACCAGTCTGCGTCCCAGGACGCATCCCCACCCGTCTGTCCGAGGCTTTGTCCCACCAGCTGCAGCCAGCAGCCTCAGAACCCAGAATGGGGGTGGCATAGATAAGACTGCTGAGCCCCCTTTCTGTGGTCTTTCCTTCCCATGACCTGGAGAAAAGAGCTTTGTTTGCTGGAGGGAGACCCCCAAAAAGAATTAGGGTGCTAACATCCCACCAAAAGCGTCATCCCACCCAAAATGTTGCTTTTCATTCTGTGTCAGTAATTTAAAGTGGAATTTCTCACCTCTCACCCTGTGGAGATGGAAGTGGCAAAAGGTTGTCCCAGCAGTGTTGGGGGACGGGGTGTGTACATCATTCTTTTGGGGATGGATGACCTGCCGGCTGGTGGGCTTTTCTCCAGCACTACTGCAGGTAGAAGCCCTCTGGGCTTGTGTGGAGTGGGAGCAGCCGTGTTGGGACTATGGGGAGGAGCTGGTCTGGGTGCAAATTAAGGCTAGTGTTGGGGTCTGAGTGCTGTCCAGAAAGGCTGTGTGACCAACCCTCACTAGTTCCTGAGGTCAGGGTCTCCATGTTAGGGAACAAAGCAGGAGACTTGGAACAGCCCCTACAGCTGCACTTTCAGAAGGTCAGCCTGTCCCATTCTTGTAACCTGGAGGTCCCTCCCTGTCTCCACCCCACTGAGCCGCAGGAGCAGCCCATCAGTGCACCTGATTGGAACACCCCAGATTGCAGGTCCTGGAAACTGGGCGCTAGGATCCGTTTCTCTGGCTGCAAAGAATGGGAGGCCTGATGTGGGATATCCCTTCTCCCACCACACCCCAATTAATGCTGAAGAGTAGGGCAGGAGGAGGTGCTGGGAAAACCGGGTTTCTTGGCACATGGGAGTGCAAGCACTGTGGTTGAAATTGGCCATGGCCAAGGCACTCCAGACGATTTCAGGTCATTTTTAGCCCCAGGCTGGAAAGGGGTCAGGGGGCAGGTGACCTGGGCTCAGCCCCCAGCAGCTCCCAACCGCCCCTCTCCCAAGCAACTCCTGGTCCCTGCTTTTGAGGAAATAAACAAATAAAACCCCGCTATCTCCGAAGATTTTTCTTTAATGAAAAGGATTCGTTTTTCCAAGTTCTATTTCCAAAGCCGAGGCGATTGCCGGGCTGGAGCGCATCGTTGGCGACGCTTGCCCGTCGGACCCTGGCAGCGGCTGGAGGAGGCTCAGCCTCTCGGTCCGTCCGGAGGGCTTGCTGGAGGGGTTGGTTTGTTTGGGATTTAGGGGTTGGTTGAGGATTTGTTTTGTTTAGGTAGGGAGTATTGGGGTGATAAGTTAGAACAACTGCGAAACGAGTTAGCGGGCGCATTCGGCCGGCCTCTTTCACCCCCGACTTCCTGCGGCTTGGGCTGAGGGCGGACCACGTTCGGCCCCGCCGCTGCGTGCAGGCTTCGTTCCGGCCGAAATTTGAAAGGAGGAAAAACGACGCGATCGACTGGAGGACCCTGCCGGCCGGTACTGGTCACCCGCAGAGGAGAAGGAAGAAGGACGAGGATGCGGATGGCGGCGCTGGTGGCAGGGACCGGCGTCCCTGTGCGCGCGGGCTGGGACCGCGATCCTCGCGCTGGGGCCAGCCAGCCGCCGCCCCGAGTGGTCTCGCCCGCGCTGAGCTCCGTCCCTGCGGCCCCCGCCCCTGTTGCGCCCGGAGCTCAGCCACAGATGTCCAGCCACAATTCTCGGTTGGCCGCAGACTCGTACAAGAATTGCGTTTGGACAATCAGTGGCGAAGCCCCTGAGTTCAGGGCCCTGGTCTCCTGCGGGGTTCCGCTTCGCTCCTAAAAAGCGCCAGACCAGGACATCTCAGAGCTGCGCGTCGGACCACCTCGCAGGCGCTCAGCAGCGGCTGCCCATCTGGCGGTAAGGTGGACTAGCAAGCACGCGGATCCTGACCCTGTGCCGGGATCCCCATCGCCCCTGGCGTGGCTCCTTCGATCGCGGCCCAGAGTCCCCAGAGTGGCCCGCGTTGGGTCTCAGCGCCGCCCCAGGTCGAGGGGGAATCTCCTCTGTCAGGCCTGGGGAACCCCGACTCCCCTCTCCCTGCTCCCAGCCTGGACTCTCCGGGAATCCGGAAGGCAGGACCCCCAGGCCGGGTCGCGTTTCCGAGCCCGGGGTCCGGGTTGCTGGATTCGTGGGTCCCCCGCCCCCGCCCAGCCCCGCGCACGCACCGGCTCGGGCGCTCTCCGCTTTCCTGTGGCTGAGTCGCGGCCGGGGCGCCTGCGGTGGCGGTGGCGGCGGCGGCCCAGGCGGCGGAGAGTGCTGGAATGCGCCGCCGGGTCACCTGCAGCGCCCGGGGAGCCGGACTGGGAGCCGGCGGGCTGCCGAGGCGCAGGGCTGAACCCGAGCGGGCGCCTCTGGCGGCTCGGGGCCGGGGCGGGCTTTTAGTGGGCCGCTCCAACAATACGGGCCTGGCGCGGAGAAAGGGGCTCGGCTGCAATTGGTACTGGATTTGAATAACGCCACGGGGCCATCAATGGTCATTGTGTCGGCGGGTAATGAATCTCCGCTGTCTCTCGGGCTGGCCAGGCAGCTGCAACCTGCGCTCAGGCAGCTCTTAAAGACATAGCGTGCCCCTCCCCGGGGGCCGCCTCCCCCTCTGCACCGGCCGGACCCCTCGTCCTCCCACCCCCACTCGGCGCCCTCAACTCCCGATGCCCCGCCTGCTCCCTCGGCCTGACCCCTTTGCCCATCGCCCCCTCCCTTCTCCTGGGCCAGGCACCAGCATCCCGGCCCTGCTCTCCCCTGGACCTGACTCAGGCCCTGGCCTTGGCTGAGCAATCCAAGAGCACCCAGGGCACCCCAGAGTCTTTTACGGCCCATCCCCTGTCTCCCAGCTGCATGGAAACCAAAGGCCTCTGGAGCCCCCCTCCCTAGGACCCTGCCCAGGGGCTTTTACTGGAGGGTGAAGGGGAACAGTCTGGAAGTCAGAGGGTCACCCCCTGAGAAGACCACGCTGAAGGATAAAGGAGAAGGGGGTACAGTCCCCACCCCTGGGCTGAGATGCCATCCCTGGAGACCACACCCCACCCGGGAGCTGGAGCCTACCCCCTCCCCCCACCAAGGACCAGAGCTTGATTCCCAGGCTCCAGCAGGCTCCTGGATACCTCAGGGCTAGCAGCAGGGGTGGGGGGAGGGGAGCAGGTGGGTGTGAGAGGGGCGTGGAATCTGTGAATGCTTGTCTTGTCACTGTCTCTTCCATTGGGCAGTCCACCCATCCAGGAGAGCAGGGGCTCTGTCCAAGGTCTAATGCACCCCCAGCCCCACCCCCGGCCTGGTCTGGCAGAGAAGGTTCTCAGTCTACTGGGTAGATACATAGCCAGCTTCTCACCCCTAAAGCCCAGCCTGTCTTTCCCAATGAACCTCACACCCTAAAGCGGGAGTGTGTGGTGATTTTTCCCATACAGCCTGCCTTCCATTCACCCCAGGGTTCTCCAAGCACCCAAAATACCCCTGCCTCTGTCCTGGCACACCAAGCTGCCTTGCTTTGAAATGCTCTCCTGTCCTCACAATCTCTGGGTGGCATTGCCACGTGCCCAGCTGAATTGTGAATATCGGTTTGTCTGAGTCTCCTCCCTAGGACAGGAAATGGGTCCTACGGATCTTTGTGCCTCCAGGGCCTAGTCCAGTGCCCTCCCCCCAACCAATCATTAAATATCTGTGGGTGGTTGCACGCATGCCCGGTGACTTCAAATGAGTCACATAGACTTCTTGGAGTTTCTTATAAAAGTTGAAAGAATGTTGCTTGTGGGGAGTAATTCTTGCAGCCCGGGTTTTACAGGGAGGGAGCCCTGCTGACCAGATTCCAACTCCTGGGAATGCTCCATTTGGTAATAATAACAGCAAAGAGTGTATTGTGTGCCAAGCACTAAGCTCTTTGAAGGTAGTAGCTCACTGATTCCTTACAATAAGCCTGGAAAGTAAGTGCTGTTATCAGCTCCATTTCACAGATGAAGAAACTGCAGAGCCATCCTTCCTTAGGCTCCTGCCTGGGGCTTCCAGCTGGAGAGGGAGGGGGAGAATTGTGGAGGTCAGAGGGTCACTCCCTGAGAAGACCATGCTGGAGGATAAGGGAGAAGGCATGCAGCCCCAATCCCCAACCTCCAGAGACCGCACCCACTAGGGATCTAGAAACCCAGAGCTGTGGGCTTACTGCACACTCTAGTTTCCCAGACTTTATTTAGCAGGTACAGAGGGGATGGACGTAAATGCACACTTAAAACGACAGGATCCAGGAGACACTCTGTGTCACCTTATAACATTATAATCCAGTCCCAGCCCCACCCCAGCCTGGCATGAACACAACCAAGATAGAGTGGGCAACAGTAGTCTCTGGTTGCCGGGTGCCATGGCCCATGTCCATAATCCCAACACTTTGGGAGGCCGAGGCTGGAGGCCAAGGCAGGAAGATTGAGAGACTTGGTCTAAAAAAAAAAACCAGCCTGGACAACAAAGTGAGACCCCAGCTCTACAAAAATAAAAATAAACATGATTTATTTATTCATTTTAAGAGGGAGTCTCGCTTTGTCGCCCAGGCTGGAGTGCAGTGGCACAATCTCAGCTCACTGCAATCTCTGCCTCCTGGGTTCAAGCAATTCTCCTGCCTCAGCCTCCAGAGTAGCTTGAGATTACAGGCACACGCCATCATGCCTGACTAATTTTTGTATTTTAGTACAGACAGGTTTTCACCATGTTGGTAAGGCAGGTCTCAAACTCCTGACCTCAAATGATCCGCCCTCCTCAGCCTCCCAAAGTGCCAGGATTACAGGCCTGAGCCACCGCACCCGGCCAAAATAAACATTTTTAAATAAAAATGTAAAAAAGAGTTGGGGGCTGGCCGGGCGCGGGGGTTCACACTAGTAATCCCAGCACTTTGGGAGGCCGAGGCGGGCAGGTCAGGAGACCTGAGACCGAGACCATCCTAACACGGTGAAACCCCATCTCTACTAAAAATACAAAAAATTAACCAGACGTGGTGGCACGTGCCTGTAGTCCCAGCTACTCGGGAGGCTGAGGCAGGAGAATGGCATGAACCCAGGAGGTGGAGTTTGCAGTGAGCAGAGATCGCGTCACTGCACTCCAGCCTGGGTAACAGTGCCAGACTCCGTCTCAAAAAAAAAAAAAAAAAGCGTTGGGGGCTCCCAAGCTAGGTCCTAGCTGCCTTCTAGGAGAAGGACTTTTCCGTCCCCAGGGTACGTTATAGCCTTTTTTTTTTTTTTTTTTTTTGAGACGGGCGTCTCCCTATATTGCCCAGGCTGGTTCTCGAACTCCTGGGCTCAAGGGATCCTTCCACCTCAGCCTCCCGAGTAGCTGAAATTTGACAGGAATGTGCCACCACGCCCAACTGAGCTATTTAAAGCCCATCAGTACTGGGCAGAGAAATGAGTTGCCCTCACCCTCACCCTCAGGGAAATGAGGAGCCAAGAAGGCTGCTAACTGCAGTCACTGAACAGATATTGATGGAATGCCTACTGTGTGCTCACCCGGGACTCGGCAGAGGACAGATGTCCCCAGAGGAGACGCACAGTGTGCGACGGAGGCAGATCCTGGGGGAGGAGGAATGGGGAGTTAGGTGAAGGACTGTCTCAGGCGGAGGGAACAGCGTGCTCTAAAGAAGTACTTGGCGAGCTCGGAGAAGGAAGGAAATTTGGTGTGGCTGGAGCGCAATGAGGAAGGGGAAGTTCCACATAAAGCTGAGGTCGACCTTGCCAGGCTCTTAGGCTATTGGGAGGATTTGTGATTTTATCCTAAACGCGGTGGGGATCCTGAAAGGTCTGACAAGTTCAGATTTACATTTTTAAAGGTTTGCTGGGACTGAAGTGTGGAGAATGGGGGGTGGGGGGGTGGGGGGGCGGGGGGATGGGGCATGTTTGATGACCGGAGACCAATTAGGCTACTGCAGGTTCCCAGGTGAGGGCTGGCGGTGGCAGAGCAGGTTCTGTAGCTGCGTTCTCGACGGTCTGAGTGATTCTCTGTGAGCAACTCTTAGTGGACCTGATGTTTGCAAGACACTGTGTGTGCCCTGGAGGTAGGGGAAGGGAGAAAGGCAAATAGTGTCGCTGCCCCCCAGAAGTACCCAGTATCCAGTGGACAAGTGGACCAACAGACACAAATACCCAGCCAACTCTGATGAAAGAGCAGAGCCCCAGGAAAGCATGGTAGCTGAAGAATTAGCAAGGTTCTGGGGATTATAGAAGACAGAGATTCATTTGAACAGGGAGGCTGTGGGAAGAGTTCAGCAAGAGCCAGCATTGCCTTGGGCTTCCAGGACAAGTGACTCCAGGAGGCTGAATCTTAGTGATAGCCCCTGTGCCTATCCATCGTGCCTGTCCTGCCTCCCTAGAGATGGGTGGGTGTTAGGAGGATCCAAACACCCTCTGCATGTGCTTGCAGTTAAGTAATGTGTCATCATGAGCTTCCACCATCACCACCCTACACCCCCGGTGTGCATGCACACACACACACACGCACACACACAAAACCAACTCTCAGGAAGATGGCAGAGTCAGCCGGGCGCAGTGGCTCACACCTGTAATCCCAGCACTTTGGGAGGCTGAGGTGGGCGGATCACCTGAGGTCAGGAGTTCGAGACCAGCCTGGCCAACATGGTGAAAATCCGTCTCTACTAAAAATACAAAAATTAGTCGGGCGTGGTGGCAGATGCCTGTAATTCAAGCTACTCGGGAGGCTGAGGCAGAAGAATTGCTTGAACCCAGGAGGCAGAAGGTGCAGTGAGCTGAGATCCCACCACTGCACTCCAGCCTGGGTGACAGAGTAAGACCCTGTCTCAACAAAAAAATTAAAAAGATGGCAGAGTTGTCCACACTGTCAGTTAAGCAAACCCTTCCTTCCCACCAGGACTGGCTTTTTTTTTTTTTTTTTTTTGAGACAGAGTCTCGGTCTGTCATCCAGGCTGGAGTGCAGTGGCGTGATATCGGCTCACTGCAACCTCTGCCTCCTAGGTTCAAGCGATTTTCCTGCTTCAGCCTCCCGAGTAGCTGGGACTACAGGCTCGAGCCACCATGCTTGGCTAATTTTTGTATTTTTAGTAGAGGCGGGGTTTCACCACGTTGACCAGAATGGTCTCAATCTCTCGACCTCGTGATCCACCCGCCTCAGCCTCCCAAAGTGCTGGGGTTACAGGCGTAAGTCACTGCGCCCGATATTTTTTTTTTTTTTTTTGGTGGGAGTCTCACTCTGTCACGCAGGCTGGAGTGCAGTGGCACAATCTTGATTCACTGCAACCCCTGTCTCCAAGATGCCTCAGCCTCTC